AAAGTTCCTCGAGTACCGGAGCCAGAACATGAACAACTTACTTGTTTTAAAGAGGAGAATGAGAAGGACGAAGTTTTTGGCCGTGGTGTTTTGTGGGACAGCGGCAGCGACGTTCGTTGAAAGGAACGTGTGGATGTGGAGATGTAGTCAAGAGTGGTGAGTGGTGATGTGCTTCACTTCAGTGACACAGAGTTCATTAACAATTTTCGCCTACTTCAGAGCAGAATAATGATGTTTGTGTCTTGTTGATAACGTGTAGGTGGATGAATGCACTTTGGCCGTTCAGACTGAAGTCACATGTTAAAAGATCGGATATGTATCGGTTTCAGGAGCACATATCCAAGTGTCCTGGGTCACATTTGAAAAAAATCGGATCTGTGTCGTTCAGACTGACATTAAAAGATCAGATACAGGTCACATAGAGGCCAAAAAATCTGATTTGGGTCACTTTAGGCTGCAGTCTGAACACAGCCTAAGTCTCTTTCCTTTCCTCTCCGCGCTAAGTCTTCCCCCCTTCAGAGCGATATCACAACACAATGAGTGTGTATCCCGCTTAATGAAACTACTACACATCACAGGTTTATCACGTTGTTGAGCACAGTTTTGTATCATGCTTGTGGATATTTATGGAGAATTGTCCCATGAATGACGCAGGATTGTGAGCTGAGCATTGGACAGAATCTGACAGCTAAACACAAGGAGGGTTTGAACAGGACTCAGAAGAGATTGTTTAATTACTGGAACGTGCATGAATGACATCTAAAATGTCTTCAGGCATGTTTTTGATGAGAGAACAATGTTAGAACACGGGAGAAAGCTAAGTAAAAAAAAAAAAAAATCATAGTACTCCCTCTTTAACCTCTGTTACACAATTGCACTGACTAAACCTGCCCAAAATCAGCATGTGCACAGGTGAGGGTGAGTGGAAGGTTTCAGAGACCACTGCAGTGTTTGATGATGATGAACAATAGTTGAACAAGACAGCAAGGAGGTCTTGAAATGGGTTATTAGCAGAATTGGAGGAGAGTTTTTTTGGCTTTGTCAGTCAATGTGATCCATCACTGAAATTAGTTAAAACTTCAGACAAAACGAAGTCCAAGCTCTCCATAAAAGTAAAAGTCGCACAAGGAATAGTAAAGTCAAAAGGACAAAGCCAAGGTGTTGGCCAAAGCCAATGAGTCATTAAAACTGAAGCATGGCCTTTTAAAAATCACCAATCAATAGTAAGAACAGAAGTTCATTAGGGGCAGACAAGTATAGTATAAATAGTATAAATGATGATCATAATACTATTAATAATATCAGTACTAATGTAAAGATGAATATATTTTAACAGTACAAATAATGAGAAAATACGTATTACATTTATACATTTACAAGTCCTTATTAAGACCAGGATGTACATATGGTTCATATAAATGTTCTTCCAGGTAATTCCATTGTAGCTTAGTGTCACCATAAGAAGGTCACAGGTTTGTATACTAACCAGTGTGGTCTTAATGTTCTAATCTACCCCACCTTCTGTGCTCTTGCCCTTTTAATCTAAAATATTTAAGATGGATCCTTAAGATAAACTTTCTAGGTTAGGTCAGTCCATCTTTTATTCATAGATTGGAACCACATGACTGAACTTGAATAAAACTTGCAATGCACTGTTTTTGCAGAGCCACAATATTTGCAATTATCCTCAGGATATTGACCTATTGTGTGTTTGTACAGCTCAGCAGATCCCTCCCTCTCCTTTCTGTGGTTTTAGTATGTTGCAGCTGTGCCTATGACTCAGTGGTATTGGTCTGGAATGTGACTTGTTGAGCCATGTCCTTGAGCCCCTGTGTGCGGTCTTTGATGGTGTGGCTCGGATTTAATTTAGCCAGCAAGGAATCACAATTTGTACAGCGTTCCCCACTTGATTAATTAGACAAGCGGATTAGCTGTTTAATATTAATTTTGGATCCCTTCCATGGCTGCGCAGGCCCTGCATCAGATAGGCTGTGTCGACGTAAACATTCAATCAAGTGTCCCGATGAAAAGGCCAAGGTGTGTCAAAGTCAGACACTATTGTTCTCCACAGATCTGGCTAGCATCCATACAGCAAGATTCACTCAGGGCTGTCTTATCGGCTGAACCATCCATAAGAAAATGCACTCTTGGGTTTTGAAAAGTCTTGAGTGAATGAGATGTTAATTATTTATGTATTCAAACAAGACGTGGCATTAAATAAAAAATAATTATTGGGGTCGGTAAGGGCATGTGGGATATGTTTGACTGGATTCTTTATTATATTGTATCATCTGTTTTTCATTTTCAACCCAATAAGTTTGAATTGCTGCCAAACACATAACCGTGGAATTGTCAGCCCTCCGTTTTATCGACTTTGCAGATAAGTAACGGAGTATAAAATTAGCTTGGAACTTTGGAAGCAATAATGTCCTTCTAGAATTATATTTTTTAGATAACTATAACTGTAAAAATGATGTGAAATAATCTGGTCATTAAAAGAGTTTTAGGTTAGGGAAGGTAGGTGTTTGGCATAAGATATGATATTGTAAAGGTCACTATTAAGGGATATTTTTAATAACTTCCATGGCATAAAGTAAAATTGAATTTTGTCTGAAATGTATGGCATTACATTTATCTATGGTCATGGATAGGGCTGGGTATCATTAAGAAGTTGCTGATACAATACATATCTCGATACAGTGACCTTTTGATTTGATATATATTTCAAATCGTTTCGATATGGCTCAGTAAGACATAATGGCTAAATCTTGACTGTTCTGACCAGTTCTTCTGCAAAGTGAATATGAAAAACATCCATTTTACTCATCAAAACAGTGGAAATGTCAAATGTGTCGCATAACCCATATGGAAAAGTTATGGACAAATCATACACCATTTTAACATGTTTTATCTGAATCTTAAAAGATTTGTATATGACAGTGAAAACACTTACAAGATCTTTGGTAAATATGTGCAGCATGAAACATATAAAACTTTGTAACCTGCAAGAGCTGAATATGACACTAATCCTACACACAATGTCCTCACAAGTGTTGGAGAAAAGTCATTTTTACCACAGAATCATAGAAAAACAAATTGATTGTTTCCTTAAACTTGATTGCTGTGTGTGTGTGTATGAGAGTGAGAAAGAAAATTATCACTGTGTGTCTGTGTGTGTTTGCGTGTGCGTGTGTGTGTGTGTGTTGTGCAGCATGGGGGTAAACACAGTAATACAAATATTGCATTACAACCTTAAAAAACATCTTCCACTGATATCACAGTGAACAAACATCAGGCTGTAAAAATATTTTTACTCTGCAAAATCCTAATTATTACAAAGTTCTATATTGACTTGTAATATTCCAAAAAGCAGCTACACACTTATGTTTTTGTCACATGCCTCAACTGACAAGACGTCATATCACTTACAAATACTGAAGTACTTGTAACTGTCCTCAATATCTGCTATTGTTCCCCTGGAGTCAGAGACCTGGGTTCAAATCCCCCTTCACACTCTGGTCATTTTTTCTGCAACATATAATTAAAGAATACAAACATTACATGGAACATACAAAGAAAATGTAGTTTATCATGCACATTACCTGTAAATGTCCTGCAAAATGTTCACTTTATCTTTACTAGTTTTTCATAATATAGTTGTATGAGAAAAATGTAAAAGGGGGACACTTTCAGGAGGAAACCACACATGACACATATGAACCTTATATAAAGATTTACTACAAAGACACTGGTAAATTCTTATTTTTTTTCCAGTTTTTTTCCATATGGGTAAACAAGCTTCCTTTCTCTAAACAAGCAGCAAAACTGTAGCACTGTAACAAAATAATTTAGTAAAATATACCAAAAAATAGTCGATACAGCAGCCCACAATATCAATCTTGTATCATCACATTAAACGGTACGATATTTTGATATTTTTGCACACCCCTAATTATGGAGGCTAAACCAGGCTAAGTTACTGTTTAGATCTGTGGAGAGGCAACCCTTCTAAGTATTTTTGAGCTATAAAACCACCTGTATTTTAATAAATATAAGTTAGAGCTGTGGAACATTCCAAGCAGGGCAGTGGCATATCCATAGAAACAAGAAGGTGACGGAACCCCAACCAAAAAAAGTTACATAGTGCACCTTTAAGCAGTGTTGGGAAGGTGACTTTTAAAATATATTCCCCTACAGATTACAGATTACACACACCAAAATGTAGTTTGTAACGGAATCCATTAAATTACTTAAAGTGAGTAATGTAATCTGAATACTTTGGATTACTTGATTTGCTGTAGAGAAGCAAAGACGAGGAAATCTTCACATAAGATGTTTTGTCTGTTAAAAGAAAATAAAAAGTCCAGACTTTACTGAACCAAATTAAAAATATTATTGTTAGAAGACGAGGAGACACGGTCCACACAGCAGGATTTAGTCCTGTTAAATCCTGTTTGAGACATAGTTTAGACCTGGTTTAGACTTGGTTTAGACTTGGTTTAGACCTGGTTTAGACTTGGTTTAGACTTGGTTTAGACCTGGTTTAGACCTGGTTTAGACCTGGTTTAGACCTGGTTTAGACCTGGTTTTAGACCTGGTTTAGACCTGGTTTAGACCTGGTTTTAGACTTGGTTTAGACTTGGTTTAGACTTGGTTTAGACCTGGTTTAGACCTGGGTTTAGACTTATTTTAGACTTGGTTTAAACCTGGTTTAGACCTGGTTTTAGACTGGGCAATGCGTGGAATTACAAAAAAAAAAAAAAAAAAGGGATATAGCCCAAAATGTGAAAACAGGAAAATACCGCCGTGTAATCCATTTATTTCAAGAAAGTAACTGTAATCCAGTTACCACTCACTTAAACAGTAACTGTAACCGAATACAGTTACTCATAATTTGTACTCTGATTACGTAACTCTGGAACATGTAATCTGTTACTCCCCAACACTGCCTTTAAGGTATGTGAAAGTCACCTAGTATTGTTCTCCTCAGGTCTGGCCAGTATCCACGGAGGAATCTCCACGCAGGGCTGGTTCATCGGCCTCATGTGTGCCATCGCTCTCCTCACCCTCATTGTGCTGGTCGCCTGCTTCGTCAACAGAAACAGGGGCGGCAAATATTCTGGTAAGCTCACTTGCACACTCTTCACCTGCTCCGCTGCTAATCGCTTCAAAGAGCACAATTTCAATTTTATTTGTAGCTATAAGACAGAATTAATCAAAACAACCAAGAAGCCATTACTGGAATATGTCAGGGGATATGTCAGGATTTTTTCATGCAAATTCTTACATAAACGGGATTTGTGTTGATAGGGAAATGAGCTTTTCGCAAGTCCGGCATTTGGATATCGCCTTATTTAGACGCCTTTTTCTAAGCGACAATGCAAACAAGCCCGCAAGCCAGATGAAATGCAAATGCGGCGCAGGGGAGAACACAGCGGGAATAATGACATAAGCTCTGTGCCATCTCAATGTTATCCCTCCTGTCGGGCACCCCAGAGTCTGTACAAGGTTTGATTATTCACCGCTAATGGGCAGCGAGGGTGTAGCAGGGCCCAAGACTGCTCCACTCATCAGCTGAAAGGCGCAGTGCAGCCTCTGTCCTCTGTTTTCTCATTAACTCCTCATTACCCGTCCACGTATCTCCAACAGCCTTTACATCCGTTCATTTGCCCAAACTCATGTTAGTCCCGATCGACATCACAAGAGGCAGCAAAGACAGTGATGTATAAGGCAAGACACCGCAAGTTCATTTCAAGAGTGTGGGCCCATCTGCTATTATCTTTCAGTCTAAAATAAAGACATTATAATATTATTTTTTGTTTTAGTCTGTTAAATAACTGTTATCTTATGAATTAGTTTCCTTTTATAAGTTGCTTTAATATGAAGGTTATAAATGATGAGAAAATGATGTTTATAATTAGAAACATAACCTAAATATATTTCATTAAAGATGATGTACCTGTTTTAACTAGGGATGGGCATTCAATGAAATTTTCTTAATCGATCGTCGGAAGAATTAAGGATCGATTATCGATTAATCATTAACGTTTTTATATTAAAATGATCATCATTATTATTACTATCTGCACTACTAATCTGCATAAATAAATTCAACTTTGCGACATATAAACCATAACGACTCTAGAGCCACATCAGCCCGTTTGACATTAGAATGTGTTTAATTCAGTTTTGAGCAACTCTCACAGAAACAAAACTTAAAACCGCATCACTAATTTGCATAAACTAAGCGAAGATTTAAAAAAAAACAGCTCTTGTGTCGCTGATGTGGTTTAACTTCTGTTGGATTAAAAGACATGACTCAGGTGAATACAGGTTAGTGTGAACATATTTGTGTTTGTCAAAACCAGGACACCGTACGGGGGGAGGGAGGTGGGGACTCGTCATCCACATTGAGCAACTCTCACCTGGTAAAACTTTTTCCCACTGGACACTGAAACATATGTGCTGCTTTATACACTGTGCACATGGACTCACACTTGTCCCAAACGCAACGGAAAGTGTGGAATTTCTTGTACAAATCATCGTTAAACACACATTTGTGCTTCAGTACGTTGCAGACTGACCCACTGTTTGTGTCTCGCTCCTTCTGATGCAGAGACACATGTACAGACCTGTTTGGTCACGATACACACAGCAACCTACATTCGGTTTGTTGATTAAAATGAACATAATCGATGAAATTCTTAATGATCAATTATCAATTAATTGACTAATCATGTCCATCCCTAGTTTTAACATGAAAAAGCGGTTTGCTGTGGTTCAAAGTTATTCCTCACTGCACCTCATTCCTTGCATCTGATTTATTCACCATGATAAGTTTATAAGTGCATTTCCCAAATTTCTGAGGTCAGAGCAGGGTTTGATGTCACAGCAATGCTAACAGCTAGCATGCTAAGTGTGCACTTTCTGAATCACTGTAAAAAAGTTTTATAATTAGAAACAGACAGTTCACACCGAGCTGCTTATGCAATACATCTGTAGTGGAGCAAAACAAATGCTGTGCAAATACATGGAGAAAATCAGGTAGAGGAACATCAGGAACATTTATTTTTAGCCATTGCAAGATCTGGCCCAAGATTATGTTAGACAAAATCTAACAATACAAAGTTAAGGTTTGACATTGCAGATGAAACACTGTCTTTTGTTGCTTAAAATTGCACAATATTGACACTTTTATCATACAAATATGACAAGTGAAATAAAACAAGCTTAACGCAATGTTTTTGCAATTGTAGTATTTTGTGATTTCTTTGAAAACATCTTGCCTATATTTGTATTATTTCCTCCAAACTTTGAATAAGAACTCAAAGAGTTGTGGGACCAGGGGAATGGGTCTTTCTGGTAACATGAAAAGCAAACAGTCTGAGCACATAGTGATGTCAGCACTGTGTCAATCTCCATGGAGCAAATGACTGATATCATCTCTTCATTCTGTGAGCAGTGAAAGAAAAAGAAGACCTTCACCCAGACGTGGAGTCCCAGGGCATGAATGATGACACTTTCTGTGAATACAGGTAAGCATAAAACATATTTCAGCACCACATTTAAGGTCTGTTCTTCTCTGGAGATTTTTCAGCCATTTTCTTCTGTTCTTCTGTAACATTTACCCATTTCTCCTTTTGCCAAAAGACAACCTGACAAGCGCGAGGTTGAAACGGAGCCTCACACCACCGCTTTGGCTCAGCACATATGATTGGATGAGTACCAGAATTGTATGTGCTAAACGGCAGTAGCAGCTGTTTACACATGTCCGGAGTGATAGCACACCCTCCATATGACTGTTGTCGTAGATACTGTCATTGTGTGTCCTTCACCTTTCCTTTGCTCTTTGCACATGTCAGATGTTTTAAACAGAATGCCCAGCATTCAGCAGGAGGCCAAAACCAATCAGTGTAATTGAAAGTGGCTCATCTCCCAGGCTCTGATATCTGTCCATGTTTCATTAATCCTGTAGCGCTTCAATTCATAACAGCCTGGCACTGTACAGGCCCCAGTGCTTTTCTCTAATCAGTGAACTCTGCATGACATAACCCATGTCAGAGTGATTGAGACAAGAATTATCCCCCCTGTGAAATGTGTGAAAGTGCTAACCTCATATGTATCTTAATAAAACCAAATGTTCCTGGAAGATGTGACTGGTTGCTAAGAATAATGACTTTAATGATGCTGGTGGGCGTTGGTCACTTCTGACTGCTGAGTTCATTGATGAATTTCCCAAACTTCCTCTTTGCAAGTACTAGAGCAAAATAGATCCAAAAACATTCAACATTCAAAAACAGCAACAAAAAAGACAGACAGATAATAGAATGTAATTGTTCTTCATGCATGGTGTGTAAGAGGAGCTCAAAGCCCATGTGGAAATGTTGGACTTTGAAATTGCTTAGGTTAAGGGTCAATTCTTTCTTAACAAAGGAGATGTTCTGTAATAAATCATATTTAGTTTAGTTAATTTAGTAAATAAAACACATTTCACTACAACAATAATCCTTTGTTTGGAAAGACAGTGCTCCTCCAGCACCAACTTCCTACAGGTGAGAGCACCTCTCCTCTGAACCCCTCCAACCCAGACTATGTATACATTCATTTGTCTAGTTGATCAGGATGAGCAAAGTGTATCCTTTGAGAGTTAATTCATGTTTTATGGAAATGATAGTGCAAAAGATACAACAAAACATTGGCACATAAATGTTGCAATGTTGCTCCAAAGTCTTTGAATGAATGAAATATTCAAACAATATGCAAAAAATGTTTTGTTCAGTGGGGCTGGTTACTGAAAAAGTCCAGGTCATCTTTAGAACATGATTAGCAGCTAAACACATTTCAGTTTAGTTTAGTTTATATTGTTGACTAAATTAATTATATATATTTATTATTATTATTATTATTATTATTATTATTATTATTACTGTTCAGTCAGACATCAAATTTCATCTCTCATGGTGAACTTTGAGTGTTTTGCAATGCTTTTTCAGAGTGGTTTTTAACCACAAACGGCAAATAAATTCAACTTAAAAGTGCACTGTGTAACTTGTCTGGTGGAGGGTCGGTCACCTGTTTGTCTCCATGGAGATTTGCCAAGAATGTGCCAAAGTGTGGCCGTAAACTTAAGAATCTCCATGAAGACTTGCACACCAAATTACAGTTTAGATATTTTTTAAGATAATTTGGAGCAATAAATAACACCTGTAGTTGAATAAATACAAAACATATTAGTTTAATATCATACTGTAGACTGTAGTTTATACCAAAAGCATTAACATCTACAGACTCTCTCTCTGGAAAAGTAACACAGTGCACCTTTAACCTGAACCTTAATTCAGAATCAAGCGGTATTGTGTGACAAACATCCATGCAATGTAGCGGCACATTTTTCAGACTGTACAACATTAGAGTGGGTGAGTATTAATCTGGTCAGTACCACTGCATGGGGGTGACTTGTAGCTATTCCACAGATCCTCCATATCCCCTGGGCATGACTTTATCAAGCCCACTGATGTCCAGCAGAGAAGCACAATTACTGCTGGCTGCTGGACATTGCTCCTCACCGCAGCTCAAGATATAGGCCTCATGTTGATCCCAGAATATCACCGAGTCAGTGTCACCTCTCCCTCCATCCACCCCCCCCACACACAGCCCCCCAATAAGCCATAGTGTGAAGCCATGGGTGAAATGAGGTGCTTCTAAATCCACTGTCCCCATTTCTTTTCTCTCACAGTGACAACGATGAGAAGCCACTGAAGGGCAGCCAGCGCTCACTGTGTGGAGACATGAAGGGCGGGGACAGCGGGGACAGCCTGGTGGACTACGGGGACGAGGAGGGACAGTTCAACGAGGACGGCTCCTTCATTGGGGAGTACGCAGGACGCAAGGAGAAGAGGGTGTCCGCCGAGGTCAAGTCCACTGCCCAAACCCCAGCGTGAGGCAATCCGCTGGGGTGTTACTGCAGACATTGTACCCCACAGCGAGCACAAACGCGGTGTCAAATGTAACGCATCATCGCCAACTGCCATCCTCGTTTTATATACAACCTACTTTTGTCGAGTCGCAAGTTGGCTATTACTTATCAAGTTAGCCCAGGATTTAATTTAAAGGCACGTTATGTAACTTTTCAGATGGAGTGTCTGTCACCTACATGGCTCTGTGCTTGGCTTGCAGGTGGCTTTTTTTCCACCAGAAAAGTTACATAATGCACCTTTAAGAAGGTCTATGAAACACTTGAGGAAAAGGGAAACTTATTCTCCCCACAAGGTAATTGTCAATGCTTTGGTTGTTTGAAGCAGATAGATCAGATGTTGATGAAATTACCTTTTGCAACCATTTTTGTACAACATAACAAAAGATAAGTTTACAATGATGCAAGTGTGAATTCAAGTTCACTTTTTTACTCTAGTAAATAATAGTATTTTATGTGACATTACATAGGCGTTGCTCCAGATGCCCTCCCAGAGTCTGCACTCTCGATTTCTATATATATCTGCGTGCTAAATATTTGTAAAAAATAAAATAAAATAAAAAATTGACAGGTTTCAGGATTGCGTATACTTGAATGATTTATTTTGTTGGTTGGACACATTTGTCATGGGTTTGACTGAATCAAAATTTGAATGGTTTTAATTGGTCATAACTAACCAAAAGACCAAGCTACAACAGAATATTGATGTACATGATTTTTCACCCCAGTGAAGACAGCTCTGCTGAATATTTAATTTGAACCTGTTATCGCATAGTATTTCGAGTGTGACCTTGACTAACAGTTACCTGTTGTAGAGAATAAGTTACAGATTCCAGACCTCTTTTTAAAAGATCCTGGACTATCCCTTTAATGCTGTGTATATATAGTGTACATGTATGTGCAGAGTGTGTTTTGTTTTTGTTGATTATAATTATACTTTTTCATTGCCAATTCTTCAGCTCTTCTCTAAGTACCATGTTTGTTGACTGTCATTCCAATGGCACAGATTTTCTCTGATGTCATCTTTTAACAGCCAGAAAAGGCAGGGAACCCCACTCATGTATGCATTGAATATGATGTATGATGTTTACAAAGGAGGACTATTAACTTATTTTTGCTGAGGTTTCATACTGGACAAGTAACAAAGAAATGTCAATATTCTCACATATCATGCACAGTGTACTTTTTATTATGTTAGATACAATTATGACTTATTTAGCATCAATATCACCAGTATGTTAAAACTTATTTTAGATGTATACAAAGTACAGTGAGTAAAACAAAAACGTACCTTTGGACTTCTCCCTTTAGCTCAGGGGATCCTTAAGTACTCATAAATTTTATTTGTTTTGTTTTGTTTTCCACCAGATGCCCTTTCTAAAATTTTCAGAGTCCAGACATGGGACTTTTGTCTTTATGCTATGAAATGTTCCTCTACCAAATGCAGACTATTTCACAAATTATTCAAAAAAGAAGCCATCAAATAATCGTAGATCATTATTATGTTAGTTTACTCCCTGATTATATTTAGTATAGTGTTAGCAAATTTTCTACTTAAAATATATCCATTTTGGAGATATAAAAAAAAAAATGAACAATACATTTGTGACTTTCCTTGTCGATCTTGTAATACGATTTTGCAACATTTTATACACTTGTATGCTGTCATTGTGTTTCTACCAAGCTCTTAAGTCCGTCAAAATAGATTGATTAGGTCTCTCACAAGGGCTGCTAGCTATGAATATACTGTCACCCAATGCTGAAATAAAGGATAATCAAACTCCAAACCCCCTTTCTCATAAAATAATTTCAAAGAATGTTTTTAAGATAACATGTCTTCTGTGCTGTCAAAACATCCATATTTGATCACCGCCAAACTGAACCTTGTGGTGAAACTTGTATCAGTGTAACCTCAGTCCTAACAAGCCTTACTCGGTCCACTGTACTGCCATCTGCTCTGAAGCTGTGCAACAGTGCCCAGCCTCTGTGTTTTCTAAGGATTCTGCCTCATTGCATGTGGATAATGTTACTTGGTGTTTTTGATGTCATTAAATTGCTTTACTTTCTTACCTGGTGTCATTTTGTTATTTGTGAGTAGCGGGGAGTAACAGATTACATGTACTGGAGTTACGTAATATACAAGTACAAATTATGAGTAACTGTATTCAGTTACAGTTACTGTTTCCATGAATAGTAAATGGATTACAGTTACTTTGTTGAAATAAATGGATTACACAGTGGTATTTTCCTGTTTTCACATTTTGGGCTATATCCCCCTTTTTTCAAGGGGTAATTCCACTCATTTCTGGAAACTAAACAAGGTCTAAACTAGATCTAAACCAGGTCTAAACCAGGACTTAACCAGGTCTAAAAACAGGTCTAAAAACAGGAATAAACCAGGTCTAAACCAGGACTTAACAAGGTCTAAAAACAGGTCTAAAAACAGGAATAAACCAGGTCTAAACCAGGTCTAAACCAGGACTAAACCAGGACTAAAACAGGTCTAAACCAGGACTAAACCAGGATTAAACCAGGTCTAAACCAGGACTAAACCAGGGCTTAACCAGGTCTAAAAACAGGTCTAAACCAGGACTAAACTAGATCTAAACCAGGACTAAACCAGGACTACACCAGGACTAAAACAGGTCTAAAAACAGGACTAAACCAGGTCTAAACTAGGACTAAACCAGGACTAAACCAGGTCTAAACCAGGACTAAACCAGGTTTAAACCAGGACTAAACCAGGATTAAACCAGGTCTAAACCAGGACTAAACCAGGACTAAACCAGGTCTAAACCAGGACTAAACCAGGTCTAAATCAGGACTAAACCAGGTCTAAACCAGGACTAAACCAGGACTAAACCAGGTCTAAACCAGGACTAAATCAGGTCTAAACCAGGTTTAAACCAGGACTAAACCAGGAACTAAACCAGGTCTAAACCAGGACTAAACTAAACAGGACTAAACAGGACTAAACCAGGTCTAAACCAGGACTAAACCAGGACTAAACAGGTCTAAACCAGGACTAAACCAGGTCTAAACCAGGACTAAACCAGGACTAAAACCAGGACTAAACCAGGTCTAAACCAGGACTAAACCAGGACTAAACCAGGTCTAAACCAGGACTAAACCAGGACTAAACCAGGACTAAACCAGGACTAAACCAGGACTAAACCAGGTCTAAACCAGGACTAAACCAGGACTAAACCAGGTCTAAACCAGGACTAAACCAGGACTAAACCAGGTCTAAAACCAGGACTAACCAGGACTAAACCAGGTCTAAACCAGAACTAAACCAGGACTAAACCAGGACTAAACCAGGTCTAAACCAGGACTAAACCAGGACTAAACCAGGACTAAACCAGGTCTAAACCAGGACTAAACCAGGACTAAACCAGGACTAAACCAGGTCTAAACCAGGACTAAACCAGGACTAAACCAGGACTAAACCAGGACTAAACCAGGACTAAACCAGGACTAAACCAGGACTAAACCATGCTGGGCGAACGTGTCTCCCCGTCTTCTATTAATAATATCTTTAATACGGTTAAGTAAAGACTGGGCTTTTTATTTTCTTTTAGCAGACTAAACTTTCGTTACGGTATCCTAGACTTTCAAGTCAATAATCAAGTAATCCAAAGTATTCAGATTATGTTACTCACTTTAAGTAATTTAATGGATTCCGTTACAAACTACATTTTGGGGTATGTAATTTGTAATCTGTAGGGGAATACATTTTAAAAGTAACCTTCCCAACACTGGTGAGTCGTATCAATGCTGCTGCACAAGCATAAGTACTTTTTGTGTGATGTTTAAATTTTGATTCAAATGTGGGTCAGATTTGGGGAAATGTCCTTCTCTGTCTCTTCATTGATCTGTGTATTTTATTCTCAAACCACCCTAATAGATTAAAGGTCCTATATTACACAAAATGGATTCTTGTGAGCTTTAAGCCATGTTCAAATGTTGTTGTCTCATCAAAAACCTTTACCTTTAGTTTAGTGGAGATTGACAATTCCAGGTCTGAAATCATACAAATCATTCTAGGGAAGATGTATGGAATTTGAAGCTTTTTTCCTGTATTACCAAATCACAATGTGGAACAGACTGTTATCTGTTTGAGAGAAGAACTCTGCCTAAATATGCTTGGTTTGTGTGTTAAACATTTGAATGAAACAAAGCAAAGCAAATTCAGGTATGTTTCTGAGGAGGAAACAATATTATAACATCAGAAAATAGCGTAATATGGGCCAATAGCTGCTATTCAGACATGCAGTTTGTCATGTTTATTTGATTTCTTGGTGGTGGCAGTATCTACTAGGTTTAGTGCAGACAGATCAGAACAGCGGAGTGGCAGTCGTGAGTGAGCTATCACATATTCCACATTGAGGCAGAGGAGATGGGCCCATCCTCTGGTAGCTATATTCACTCACACTTGCAACAATGTGAACATCTGGGCAGGGTGTGACACACTCACCATATGTCAGTGCAAAATTACTTGGACTCTGCTGCATTAATGGACCTTGGAAAATGTTATTTCTTGACGCCATGATGAGAGTTTGCTTGTTATACAACACACAGAGATGAAAATCTAGGCCTAGGGGGCTATTCTTACTATTAAATATGATTTGTTTTTTAATTAAGTTTTGTCAACCAAATGTGATTCACAATTTGCATACCTATTTGGATAAATCCTGTTTCCACAAGTTAAAAATGTGGGGAAATAAATTGTTATTTGTAGAAATTATTCCATATTAACACTGTCACCCAGGCTAGAAACTAGCTACAAAGAGGAGAGTCAGCTTCAGCTGACACATGCACCCAGACTAGTCTAATGCCAAACGCCATGTTTGCATTTTGAGCCCAGACTTTAACATTGTCAGCAGAACACATTATGTGGGACACACTTGATGGCTTGAGGCATGACATAATTATAAAAATCCATTGTTACTCCATCATTATTTATTTGTTTATTTATTGACTTACTACATTTACGATGTCCTACTCATACAGCACAAAATGTAATCATTCATTCATCCATCTTCAACATATCAACTGGGGTGACTGTGGTTTGTGTGGACCTTTTGCAAAGACCTTTAGGTGGGGCACTCCTGGATAGTGGCCATTTT